TGCATGTAGTATGTAGCATATGGTTTGCGTTGCTTTAAATTGGTCAGTACAGCGCTGACTATTGAGTGTCGCTAGGAAACACGTCCGCGCTGCGCTGACGAATCGGCTGCGCGGCTCGGATCATTGAACCGTGCAGATGACATGTCTGCGCGGCACGAGCTCTGTATAGCCCCGCTGTCTCGTCCCACTTTTGGTTTGTTTGGCTTCCCATATCTCTGCCGTGCACACGCCGCACGCTATGTATGTTATACGCGCAGTATCTCGCTCTAGATTCCGGGAGATTTTAACTCATTTGCGGGCATCAGGGAGACGCTATCAATATGCGTGAGACTCCCGGAACTTCCGTTTGGCGCGGTTTGAATTGAGCAGCGTAAAGGCACAGATGCCGATATATTGATGCTGACGTCATAATATATATTTTAATTAACTGTATTGCTGTTTGTTTATTATATGTTCAAGTCATTGTCGAGTCTTCCACTTCAAGTCAAGTCAAGTCTCAAGTAACTTGTTCTCAAGTCAAAGTCAAGTCAAGTCATTTTTGTACTTTAATCAAGCAAGTCACAAGTCCTGAAAATTGTGACTCGAGTCAGACTCGAGTCAAGTCATGTGACTCGAGTCCCCCACCTCTGCTATTATTCCTCACTGCGCAGAAAGACGAGATAAAGGTTAGGGCGTTCTGATGTGGGCATTTTCATGGGTTGCCTCAACATTAACGTTTGAATAGCACACGCTCTCAGTGGGCGTGGTCACATTAACACGTCATACGCTATAATTAGGTGACAGGAAAAAGACAGACATCTCTCTATTTTCATACAGATTACATTAACTGAGAATAATTGCTTTTTATATAAATTACTTTACTTAAAAGAAGAGAATTTCAGCTTCATAAAGAGAAATCTGTCATGTCTCTGGCTACGTTCACACTGCAGGGCTTAATGCTCAATTCTGTTTTTTTGAAACTAAAATTTGCTAAAATTTGTGGATGAATTGTATTGAATGCTGATGAAAAGTCAGCAAATAAAACGCGAGCAGGTGTTTTACAACCTTCCAGGTGTTTATACAAATAATTTAAAAGCACTAAAATGGCATCGTCTGTCCGAAACAGACGGTACCTGCGAAGAGGCAGACGCCTGAATCGAAGCAGCGCTCGCTGGCTCTGACACTGGGGCGGGGGGTGTGGCCCGAGGATCTCTCGTCGGGTTTTTGTTCCACACCGTCACCGTCAGATCACCCTGTCCGCGAGTCGAAGAGCTTCTCGAAGAAGAAGCTGAACGAGTAGCGGACGCGGGGACTCTCATTTTAGTCAGATCACTGAGTCTCGATCGCAGTGTAGAGATGGTCATATCCCCACAAAAGGAACATGAGTCATCCACGAACGCTACTGCTGCATGCTGAATGCCCAGGCAAACAGAGCAGCGATCGTGACCATCAGAGGACGACATGAATCGACCGCATCCAGAAGAACACGGGCGAACCATCTTTAAAAAGACGTGCCACGTGTAGCTCTTTCAAATAGAGAGGAGGAAATTCACTCTTTCAGCGCTGAGGCGTCCAGGGAGAAGCGCAAAGTCTGGCAGACCACTGCTCAGATCGCAGGCAATGCAGAGTCTCGCTGGGTACCGCCGTCACACCAACACTGAAGAGGAGCTCGTCTCGAAGAGTCTTGTCAGTGAGAATGGCTTAGGAGTGAAGAAGTCTCTTGGCTCCGAAGCGAAAACATACTGCGGTTGCGTTCACTTCCTCCTTTTATACTCACGGAGTAGGGCGGAGTACGCTATGCAAATTTCCGCAGCCCCAAGGCATTGCATGCCATTGGCTCGTGATTAAATACTCGCATAGAAAGCGAAACCCCCAATCTCCGTCACTTCTGACGTAACTCGAAGTGACTACGAAAGGGGACAATCTACTGCCCACTGACATGGTTTTACAGCTATAGTTATCCAATTTTTTGGTTTTGTACATATGTAGATCAGAGAAATAAAAATTTTCCCTGGGGAATTTCTCTCGACCCCGTAACTCACTTTCAGGACCTTAGTGATTATAAAACCCTGCCGATATGCTAGTAATATGCATTTTAACAAGCTACTAGTGAATAGTGAGGATTAGACCCTAAACTTAAAGTGTTACCTATATTTATTTTATAAAATAAAAATGTATTATCTTATATAAAATAAAATGAAAATCCTAGAATCGCCCGTGCTCTTAACACAGTATAGTCCTTCATGTCTACTGCAATCTCAAAACTCTGGTCAGTTGATAATACCTAGAATATCAAAATTAACTGCAGGCAGTAGATCCTTTCCCAGATAGCAAACTGACATTGAATCAACGTGGAAACGACGTCTCTCATGACATTGAAACAACGTTGATTTTGCTCATTGAATTAACGTTGAACCAACGTCAGACGCGGCATTCTTCAAAGCTGAATGAAAATCGAAAATTGGTTTGCTTTCATAACGTTGAAACAACGCGTTGATTTCAAGTTGATTTTCCGTTAGTTTTGAAAGAATGACGCGTCTGACGTTGGTTCAACGTTAATTCGATGAGCAAAACAATGTCAGATCAACGTTGTTTCGATGTCATATTTCCACGTTGATTCATTGTCAGTTTGCTATCTGGGTTTCCTATTTAACAAATAAACTCTGGATGGAACAGTCTTTCTAAGATTGTTTGGGAATCAGACACACGCTGTCAGTTTAAATCTAGACTAAAAACATATGTCTTTAGCCTGGCACACAAATAAAACATTATCAATTTATATTATTTATATTATATAAACGATGTAAAATGATTTTAGGCTACATAAATTAGGTCAACTGGAACCGGGAATAGTTCCCATAAGATGTACTCGCTATATCATAAGAGAATGGCATCTATCTAATATTAGTCTCTCTGTTTATCCTGAGGTTTACCGTAGTCAGGTGGATCCGGCTCGTATCCAGATCTGATGAAGGACCTTAGCCTAGACACGACCACAACGCATCTCTGAAGTTTCAACAGTCTGTCCCCTACGAAGGCATCATCGATATGACAAAAGTTTATTTTTTCAAGATAAATTTTGAATTTTTCCTCTGTACAGATGAAAACGTTATGAAAATGCTTCCCATTTGAATTTGCGTTCTCCGGCCAACAAAACGCTGTTTTCGTGTTAATGAATGGGCAAAGCGCAATAAAAGTTTTCAGTAGATAACGGTGTCGTGTAAATGGCCCCTAAGTTAATAACTAATGATTTATATTGTATTTACATGATGTTATATCACTTATAAAAGAAAAGAATTATTCAAAAAATTACTTAAGCTGGACAGTGACTCTCTTCTTGAGCTGATGTACAGCCAAAACAATCTTTGTTACTGTGGTGAGCAGGACGGCCGAGGGACGTGAGAGAAAGTCGCGAGGTGCGATTGCTAATGAGCAGCACCTGTGAAGCACATCGGTCTCGCATCTTTTACGAAGGAGCGGAGCCATAAAGGGGGAGCGACGGAGTGGATGAGCGAGAGAGGAACAGGCCTGCTTTTGTTTGTATTTTATATTTTATTTGGTAAGCCAGCAGTCGTCCGCGAGGGGCTGCTGGCCGGTATTTTATATTTTAGTTTCGGTAGCCAGCAGTCGTCCGTGAGGGGATGCTGGCAGGTAATTTGTTTGTTTATTTTATTTAAATAAAGTTTTATTTTTGATTATTATCCGGTTCCTGCCTCCTTCTTCCCTGAACTTTGTTACAGTTAAATTAATTTCCTTTGATCACTGTAAAGCTCTATATAAATGTAGGTGACTTGACTTATTAAATAATAAAGCACATGAGAAATGCAAAGCACACAGTTAAACCTCTCTACAGCACCATTAGCTGCTAGGTAGTAGAGAGAGAGGAACAATGGTGACAAATATTCCTTCCTTTCAGAAATACAGAAAAGGCAGTGGACATAAACTGAACACTGTTATCAGTAACAACACTCGATGGCTGCAACACTCAAAGTAACGACCCATGGCTGCTTAAGACTGATGACAGAAATCACAGAACCCGTTGTGACAGTGCGAGTAAAGGAGATCTAAGGCAATTTGCTGTAATAATGAGTTAATGTTATAGCAAACCTGCAGTCGGATGCATCTGTGTTAAATGGCCTGACTATATCCACAGCCATGGTCCATCTGGCAGCGGCACTGGCTGGAGAGAAGCAGGGTGGGACTTAACAGTTTAGTCATTGAGCTGAAACACAGTATGACCTAAGAACAGCAGACTGGTTTACCGGAAGCTGCGAACCAGCAGCTTCAAGTGCTTTGTCATGCTGTCACATCCGTGGATGATAATGTTGTTCAGGTAATTTTCAGGCCGCAGTCTCTGAAGCCAATCCGTAAGGAACACAACAAAAATGGAATAGTTTGTTGTAATAAAGGTCTTGAGGTCACGACTGTCCTCATGCAGTGGCATTAGGTACAGTAGTAAGCATTAGTCAGGAGGATGGTGGTTTTAGAGGTTGTCTCAAAATTAAAACAAAGCTTTTACAACTCCTTCAAACTGAAAACTACGTCACACTTCAAGCTTTTATAACCACTTCAGACTTCAAACTTTTGAGCTAAGCTTTTACAAGCCAATGTCAAAGTTTGCCATGACAAAATAAATTTTATCTAAGTTACAGGTATTATTATTCTGAGGCCCTAAATTCCTCCTAGAGCTACAAACACAAAACATGGAGCAAACCTTCTGGCTAGTATGGTTTGTGTAATACATTTTCAAACTAATCTGCCTTTCAAACAATTCATATAACAGACTTCGAAATAGGCATTTTTTAATCTAGTAATGACTGGTATAAATAGATAGACAGGCAGAGAGACAGGCAGAGAGACAGGCAGATAGATAGATAGATAGATAGATAGATAGATAGATAGATAGATAGATAGATAGATAGATAGATAGATAGATAGATAGATTCATCATCATAAAAAAAATGTTGCATGAGATGTCCTCATTCATATACTGAAACAAATTTGTGTGTGTGTTGGTCTAGAGCCGCCACCTGATGGGTCTGGTTGGAGTCAGCTGGAACTAGCAGCAGTAATTCTTGTGCCGTCGTGCCTGGTGTGTATAGGTGTCATTCTGGGAATGTGTGCCGTACAAAACCTGCGATGCACACACATTAAAGCCCACAAACAGGATCCAGAGGAACCCCTGGATGACCATACTCTGGTGTCACCTGACAAATGCCTGAAAGAGCTCATCTATGACATGAGCACCTCTGGCTCTGGTTCAGGTGAGAGCTGGCTGTGCACAAAAAAAAAAAAAAACAACAACAACAAAAAAAACCCAAATGTTAGTTATCATATGTGTTTCTTTATAACATGAATATGCAAAATGAATAGGTTGCTCAAAAAATGAAAATTATTCCATTGTTTACTCACTTTCATGTGATTCCAAACCAGTTGAATTTCTTTATTCCTTCACACAAATGGAGAAATTTTTAATATTTCTTTTCTGTATAATAGTGAATAAGAACAAATGTTGTCAAGCTCCAAAATTGTAAAAGTGACATGAATCTCATGAAAAACACAGTCTCATCCCAAGACGTCATATAAATGACGTCTTGGGACGTGTTTTGACCATACGTCAACATCCGCCGTTTTAGGGTACCCTTTAACGTCAGTTACATGACGATCCTGGGACGTCATACAACTGACGCTTTAGCTTTACATTTTACCTTTAGGTGACGGGGTAGGTTTAGGGGTAGGTTTAGGTCTGGGGTAGGGTTAGGATCCGATAACGTCATCTAACCATTGGATGTTGACGTATGGTCAAAAGACGTCCCAAGACGTCAGTTATATGACGTCTTGGGATGAGACTGCGCTGTCATGAATCAAAATAAAGTGTTACCAAAAAAAATATTATTAAGGAAAATAATTGAAACCACCAGCAACTAATGTCTTTTGCAGTTAACATGCATCTTTTCTTCTTAACCTGTTTTTGTGTGTGTGTGGGTGTGTGTGTGACCCTGCTGCTCCAATGAGCATTTTGCTGTCCATTTATCACACCTTTATTTTCCTCTTATGTACTTTTCCTCTAGTATTCCTCTTATGGGCATTTATTAATTTCTGACTTTTCAGTATGAGTTAAAACTCTTTTTTGTCCACTTTTACCTGTCCACTTTACCTGAACATAAGCAATTATATATCACTTATAAACAATTATATACAACATTAATTGTAGATATTAAGATTGATGTGGTTTGGAATTGGTAAAATGTGCTTGGAAAAAATATGATCAAAATATTGACTTGCATAAAAATGATAAACACACTAAGTTGATTTAGATAAAAGTGCCTGCATGCTAAATGTACATTTCCATCTGTTCTTCATACACTTCATACACCCCTTTGTATGACATCATATGAGATTAGTCATATTTATCTGAGAAGAGTTATATTTGGATTCATTTGGATTACTTCTATGTTTTGTTTTGTTATGAGTTGTAAAATGAGCCTATTTCCAAAAAAAAATAAAATATATATATATATATCCATTTAATAATGTGGAACAGTCTCTTTAAGTTTTCCATTTAACTAAGAATACCTGGTAAACTATTTAACATAGCTAACCTGGCAAACAATTTTTCAATAAATCAAGCACTTTCTTTTGAAAAAGTAAAATCTAGTTTATTGTTTCTTAAAACCTGCTGATATATCACTTGATAATAATTTGAAACAGTGTATATTTGAATCACATGAGATGAGTAAATTACATAATTTTTGAAGGGCTAGATATGATTTAATGATTTTAATTAATCATCATAAATATACATTTTTTTTTTTTTTTTGCAGTGAGTGAGATTTGAACAGGTGTATGGACATATATCTGTTGTTAACCCTTTAGCTGACAGTTTATGTGCTATTCTCTCAGGATTGCCTTTATTGGTCCAGAGAACGATTGCTCGAACCATTGTCCTCCAGGAAAGCATTGGAAAGGGGCGCTTCGGGGAAGTGTGGAGGGGCAAATGGAGGGGGGAGGATGTCGCTGTGAAGATCTTCTCATCACGAGATGAACGCTCCTGGTTTCGTGAGGCTGAGATTTATCAGACAATAATGTTACGTCACCAGAATATTTTGGGATTTATTGCCGCTGATAACAAAGGTATTACATGAAGGGATTTTGGTGTAAAATCACATTAATGCATGAAAATTAATGTAAGAACGAGGCATTTTGCTTGTTTGAATTGTTTACTTGCATTTAACAAGAAACATATTTAGTAATAATTTTATTGTATACACATTTTTGTGTAAGATTTCAAGACAGGAGTATAATTTCATAGGTTCACTTGATGCTGCGTCAGTAGGTGATGCTATGGAAACACACTCCAGGTTTGAAGATTGTCTAAAGTCTGTATAGAATCAAATCAGTTGACTAGCTGATGCCACTTGCACCACCCACTGAGACACTATTGGATTTACTTGGCCACCATTACTCAGATTTCTCTTCTTCAGGAAGCAGTGTATCTGACCCTTGTAGTCTGTCATTATTGTGTTCTATTTGATTGGACTCATCATTAGGGCCCGAGCACTAACAGTGCGAGGACCCTATTGAAACTGTTAGGATTATTAGGGCCCGAGCACTAACAGTGCGAGGACCCTATTGAGACTGTTAGGGTTATTTTTAGGGCCAGAGCACTAACAGTGCGAGGACCCTATTGAAACAGTTAGGATTATTAGGGCCCGAGCACTAACAGTGCGAGGACCCTATTGAAACTGTTAGGGTTATTTTAAGGGCCCGAGCACTAACAGTGCGAGGACCCTATTGGAACTGTTAGGGTTATTAGGGCCCGAGCACTAACAGTGCGAGGACCCTCTTGAAACTGTTAGGGTTATTTTATTTTTTATTAGGGCCCGAGCACTAACCGTGCGAGGACCCTATTGAAACTGTAAGGGTTATTTAGGGCCCGAGCACTAACAGTGCGAGGACCCTATTGGAACTGTTAGGGTTATTTAGGGCCCGAGCACTAACAGTGCGAGGACCCTATTGAAACTGTTAGGATTATTATTATTATTATTATTTTTTTCTGCAAAGTAAGTGCCATTTTCGGGGCCGCAACATGCTCAAAAACTCACCAAATTTGGCACGCTTGTCAGGACTGGTGAAAAATTTCGTATTTTGTGGGTTTCGCGGATGGGCGGGGCAAAATGGCACGCTAGCGCCACCTAGAAAATTGGAAAAAATTAGCCCCTCGTCCACGTTCAACCTACATGCACGAAATTTGGTGGGGACGTGTATCATATCAAGACGCACAAAAAAGCCTCAAGAACCCATACCCTAAACTCGACAGGAGGTCCGCCATTTTGAATTTGGCGGCCATTTTTGGACGATTTACAGACTCCGTACTTTAACGAACTCCTCCTAGGGATTTTGTCGGATCCAGTGGCGCAAAAAGTGGGTATGCGCTATATGCGGCGCATAGGGGCGCAGCACAATGGGGGGCGCCAAAGCGATGGTAAAAAAATAAAAATATATATATATATATATATATATATATATATGCTACAACGGCAGCTATTTCTATATGTAGCTGCCGTTGTGCGTTTCTAAATCATTTCTGCATTCCTTCAATGTTATATAAAATTTTAGAGGACTAACAGCCAGGCTAGAGTAGGCGCCCTCATGGAGAAGGGGGCGGGTAATATCGTGAGCGGGCGGGGGCGCCGTGAGCTCTGAGCGAGCAGGTACGAGTAGTTAGTTGTCGTCGAAAAAGATGGATAAAACAAAATGCTGTGGTGCTCAAAATAGAAAAAGAAAGAGAGAAAAGGAGATGGCATGTCAATTGATGCGACAGCAGCTAAATAACTGCATGCATTGCTGAAATCCAACAGGTAGGATTTAAAATGTGACATCCAGGCATGGCTATCTATATCTCGGTGGCCATCGGAACTGAGATTCCCGCTGGGCCGACGTGCTTTTCAGACAATACATTTCATCCTTTTTTAATTTATTTGTCTTAACGGCCCACAAAACTCATACATCGGCGGCCCATTTGTTTGTTTGTTGTTTGTTTTTGTTTTGTTTTTTTGCTTAATTGGCGGCGCTGTGCTGGTGGAATGCATTGGTCAAAAAAAGTCAGCTTTAGTTTTTTTTTTTCTGACACACTGGCCCATGAAATATGTCATTATGCGCAAGTATCCTTCAAGTATAGAAATTAGTGCAAAACTAATTATGAAAGTTTCCTTTATTTTTCTGTGCATTTGTTTTACAATAGCCTTTATGGCAATTACTATCATGGGATTAATATTATAACTATTATTTTGTAGTAGTGTAATTTATACAGACACTAACTAAAAGAGGATCAAAATTTTCTCTGTTTAATTTGCACCCTGAATATGGGTTGGAGCTTTTAATTTTGAACTCTCAAAGTGCACCAGTCTGCTGAATGTAACATTACAGAACACAACATTTTCTTATGGGGGAGCATGCCCCCGAACCCCCCTAGAGAAACAGAGGTCCACCTACCACAGTTTTACCTAAAATCCTGTGAGAAACACTGCTATTGCTGTTACAATGGAGCTTATAGTTTTCTTAGGGGGGGGGGGGGGGGGGGGGGGGGTTCATTAAGGTGGAGTAGCTATTAGTTTGAATAGTTTAATTGTGTTAATAAACTAAAATTGTTGCTGCATACCCCTCCGAAACTGGGTAGTTGCGCCCCTGGTCGGATCGACTTAAAATTTCTGCTGTGCCTTCTAAAGGCATTGACGATGTAAAGTTGTCGCGTGTTCGTGGCGTCGAAGATTCGCCATGAAACAGGAAGTTGTAGTAACTTGGCTGTAAATGCCCAGATCTGCACGAAATTTTACACATTTGACAAGAGTCCCGTCCTGAACAAATCTACATGCCGACATTCACCCACAGTCATAGCACCACCTAGTGGCAAGAGGAAGTGACTTTTAACGAAGCAGTTCCCGTCGCATGTTTGACCGACATGTACGAAATTTCTGTGGTACATCTACCATGTCCAGACGCACAGAAAAGTCTCTTGGAGCGATGCCCTAAACTCAACAGGAAGTCAGCCATTTCTAATTTTACCGCCATTTTTGCATGATTTACTCATTACGTACTTTAAACTAACTCCTCCTAGGGCTTTAGTCGGATCGACATCACATTTCTGCTGTGCCTTCTAAAGGCATTGACGATGTAAAGTTGTGCTATCTGTGCGTTTTCGTCCATGGGCGTGTCATGGCGTCGATGATTCGCCATGAAACAGGAAGTTGTTGTAACTTGGCTGTAAAAGCCCAGATATGCATGAAATTTCACACCTTTGACAAGAGTCCCGCCCTGAACAAATCTACATGCCGACATTCACCCACCAGTCATAGCGCCACTGCTGGCAACAGGAAGTGACCTTTAATGAAGCAAAGTAGCAAATGCACAGCCGCACTGGCTGAGCTGCAAAAAAATGTAAGCGGCCGCCTCAGACCCCGACGTGCTACAGGTGCGAGGGCCCGCCCATCGCTGCTTGCAGCTTTAATTTTTTTTATTTTTTTTTTATTTTTTCTGCAAAGTAAGCGCGCCATTTTCGGGGCCGCAACATGCTCAAAACTCACCAAATTTGGCACGCATGTCAGGACTGGTGAAAAATTTTGTATTTTGTGGGTTTCGCGGATGGAATTTTACACATTTGACAAGAGTCCCGTCCTGAACAAATCTACATGCTGACATTCACCAGAGTCATAGCACCACCTGCTGGCAACAGCAAGTGACCTTTAACGAAGCAACCCCACCGCATGTTTAAAAAACATGTACGGGAATTTCTGTGGTACATGTACCATGTCCAGACGCACAGAAAAGTCTCTTGGAGCGATGCCCTAAACTCAACAGGAAGTTGGCCATTTCTAATTTTACCACATTTTTGCATGATTTACCCATACGTACTTAAACGAACTCCTCTAGGGATTAGTCGGATCAACTTCAAATTTCTGCTGTGCCTTCTAAAGGCATTGACGATGTAAAGTTGTGCTCTCTGTGGTTTTTCGTCGATGGACGTGTCATTGGCGTCGATGATTCCCCATGAAATAGGAAGTTGTAGTAACTTGGCTGTAAATGCCCAGATATGCATGAAATTTTACACCTTTGACAAGAGTCCCGCCCTGAACAAATCTACATGGCGACATTCACCCACAGTCATAGCGCCACCTGCTGGCAACAGGAAGTGACCTTTAACAAAGCAGCGTAGCAAATGCACAGCCGCACTGGCTGAGCTGCAGAAAATGCAATGCGGCCGCCTCAGACCCCGACGTGCTACAGGTGCGAGGGCCCGACCATCGCTGCTTGCAGCTTTAATTAGGGCCCGAGCACTAACAGTGCGAGGACCCTATTGAAACTGTTAGGATTATTAGGGCCCGAGCACTAACAGTGCGAGGACCCTATTGAAACTGTTAGGGTTATTTATTTTTAGGGCCCGAGCACTAACAGTGCGAGGACCCTATTGAAACTGTTAGGGTTATTAGGGCCCGAGCACTAACAGTGCGAGGACCCTATTGAAACTGTTAGGATTATTTTTTTTTTTCTTTTTTCTGCAAAGTAAGTGCCATTTTCGGGGTCGCAACATGCTCAAAAACTCACCAAATTTGGCACGCATGTCAGGACTGGTGAAAAATTTCGTATTTTGTGGGTTTCGCGGATGGGCGGGGCAAAATAGCACGATAGCGCCACCTAGAAAATTGGAAAAAATTAGCCCCTCGTCCACGTTCAACCTACATGCACGAAATTTGGTGGGGATGTGTATCATAGCAAGACGCACAAAAAGCCTCAAGAACCCATACCCTAAACTCGACAGGATGTCCGCCATTTTGAATTTGGCGGCCATTTTTGGACGATTTACAGACTCCGTACTTTAACGAACTCCTCCTAGGGATTTAGTCGGATGGACTTAAAATTTCTGCTGTGCCTTCTAAAGGCATTGACGATTGTAAAGTTGTGCTATCTGCGCGTTTTCGTCGATGGGCGTGTCCGTGGCGTCGAAGATTCGCCATGAAACAGGAAGTTGTAATAACTTGGCTGTAAATGCCCAGACCTGCACGAAATTTTACACATTTGACTAGAGTCCCGCCCTGAACAAATCTACATGCCGACATTCACCACAGTCATAGCGCCACCTGCTGGCAAC